CCCGTAGAAGTGACACCTCAATCAATTCATGCCCCTTCCTATATAACCCAGCACCTTTCCCTAATAAAGCGGAACTCTCCGGTGAATTGCTGCTATGTGTCGCTCCTTTCCTTTCAGGATCTTTGATTAATGATGGGATAATTCAGACTAAATTCTTTCAGATCAAGTTTTTATAAATTTAGTTAATTAAACTCCATTACATTTTTACATTGCGTCTGTAAGTTTATATGTTGAATTTTATTTTTAAGCATTTCAAATACCCGACTGAACAAACTTAATAACTCCACTAGGCAAAACCCTCCCAATAACTTAAATGACTTGTAAAAACTACTAAAACATATTCAGTTCTCTTGAATATTCTGATTTCATTTGCAATCAGGATTTTTAAGAAGCATAATAATTTTGAAAAATTTCAAATAATTTTGAAAAATTTCAAGCATAAGAAAGGCAGGGAGAATATATAATGAATGCCCATGTCCCCTTCACCAACTTCAACAGTTACAAACTCATTACCAATCTCATTTCATTTATACCCCATTCATTTCCCTCTGTTCTCACATTACTTTGAAAGTAATACTAAATATCATATTACTTAATCCATGAATATTTCAGTAGTTATGCCTAACAAATATTTTTATTAATACAAAATATCAAGTCCATGTTCAAATTTTCAAGTCTCTTAAATTGTATATGAGTGTGTGGGTTTTTTTTAAGTTTGTTTGCCTAAGAATCCAAACAAAGTCTAATGTCTTCATTGGCTTATACATTTGTAATTCTTTTTCAAGCTATAAGTTCACCCTCTATGGCTTTATTTTTTAAATTGCAAGTTTTTGTGGACACTGTAGTTGACACCAGTCTAGATTTTGTTGATTGCTTCTCTATAGTATAACCTATGTGTTCCTCTCTCTTCTGTATTTTGTGTAAACTAGTAGTTGGTAGGGAGAAAGTAATGATAGGTACAACTTTTCTTAAGAGAATTCACAATCCAAAACTGCTATTTTATCCATGAAATAAAAAAGAGTATCATCTGATTATAAGGGAGAGGAGAGGACTAAGAGATTCCTACACACACATTTCCCACCTCCCAGGACTAAGAGATTTGAGGAAAATAGGGAAGGTTTTGAATAGCCATTGAGAAGGATGCTGCAACAGAGGGTTGACCAGAAAAAAAGTGTAATGAGATTATAGAATAGTGTTGAGAGTTGAATGCAGTTGAGATTGAATATCAATTATTTTTTATATTCAGAGTCACTAAAGTAGCAATTTTCTCCAGCTTTGCTATTCAACCTGAGAATAGAAATAGAAAATAAAGATTGCAACTAAATCACTAGGGATTTGCCAGGCCCAGATATTGACAACTATTAAGAGCAGTTGGAGTAAAACAACTTGGAATGAAGCACTTTGGAGTCCAAGCCACAAATGATGGAAGTAAAGCCAGGTAGAGAACATCTGGAGACGAAGAAGGGGTCAAGGATCAGAACTAATTCTCTTTGGTATCTAGATCCAATCCCTAGATCAATCAAATACCTTCAGAATCCCAGAACTGAACTATTGATACACTGCCATTTTAACAGAAAACTTACTACTGCCCTGAAGCAATGGATTAATTGTGCTCACTGTGAATGGGCGGTGCTGTGCTCGAGCCCCCCAGGTCTCCATCTTTCACAGTAGTAGCAGCATAAATACAAGACAAAACCTCTTCTAATGACTTCTGACACTTTGAATAAGAATACATATAAAAGAGAGAAAAAACTCAAAAATGATCCTTTTATTCTTTTTTTTTTCATTATAAGATGAGTAGCTATTTGTCCTATTTTTCACTTATTCTTGTTTTTTGTTTTCAGAAGCCCTGTAAATGAAGAAAATCAAGATGGTGTCATGCATGTTGATGGTAAGGGACAAAAGATGTTTATGTGGTACTTCAGGCACATAAATCTTCATTAATCATTCTCAGAGAGTCATGAATGGGCTATTTATCATCACAGATCTATGTAAGACCACTCTCTTTTTTATCCATTTGTCTATTTCTTTTTATCTTCATGATGCACTCCCTTTCCTCTTTTCCCCTTACCAGAGATACATACTCTAATGTATTTAAAGTGTATGTGTCTGTTTGTACATATTATTTGTGTACTGTTTGTATATGTATATGTATTTCAATATTCACACACAGTATCTTATAGCTCAGCTCAGTCTGGACTTTTTATTTTTACATTTGACTTAGTGCATTTTGGTGGGGGAGCCCTCCATGTTGCTATATGTATTTTAGTTTGTTACTATTAACTACTGTACAATATTCCATGGTATTTATCTTATGCAATCACATTTTACCTCTAACTCACTGACACCTACAAATAATAATTCAATGCACTTTCTTATGCATATCTTCCTTTGGACCTCTGAGACACTTTCTTTAAATATATATATATACATCAGTGGAATGGCTGTGAAGAAGTTATGGTTCATTTTGACTGAGTAGGACTAGGGTGGTCTCCAGAAAAGCTGCATCTGTGTATAGTCCCATTAGCAGTGCATGAGGATACCAAGATGCATGGTATTATTCAACTTTCCAACTGTTTCCAGTCCTGTATGTATAAAGTGGTGTCTCATTTCATTGTCTTATCTCTGCTTCCTATTGAGTTTGAGTGTTTCTTTTGTATACTAGCCTTTAGGTTTCTGCTTCTGTAAGTTGTCTTTTCATATCCTTTGACCATTTTTTCTTGGGGTGTTATCCTTTTTTGGTTGACTTGCAAAATTCCTTTGTATTCCAGATATGAATCCCATGTCAGTTGTTTATTAACTTAGCCCATGGTGGTGTTCACTGAATATAAATAAATTTAGATATAATCAAATTCATTAATTTTCAACCTGCAATTTATGCCTTTTAAGTTTTATTTAAGAAGTCCTGTCCCTAAAGAATAAAAATATTATCTCCTATTTTAATCTATGAACTTTAACCCTTATGCTTAGGTCTGTGATCTTTTTGCAGTCCCTTTGGGGAGTTAGTAGAAATCCAGATTTGTTGCCTTGTATATGGAGCCAGTTTTCCTATTTCCATACTTTGGAAATCTACCTTTTTCTCACTTATTTATAATGTCACCCTTGTATACACCAGCTCTGTGGGTGTGTATGTATCTATACATATGTGTGTGTGCACTGCATGTGTGTATATGTAAATTTATGAATCTGTCTCCAGGCTCTCTGTTCTATTCCATCAGTCTATTTGTTTCTATACCAGCACCACACCTTTTTTAATATTATTGTTTAAGATTATATGTTTATATCTGGTAATTAGTTTATATTACTAAACACTTGAGCAGTGAAATATTGCTTCAAAACATCTAACTTGATTTGTTTGATACATAAAGCAAATGCTTGGAAACAAATAAGTCAAAGTATACAAACTAGTTGTCATTTTCTGCTAATACCTTTGTTCCACACAAAAGTCCAAAACCAAATATACATACATTTCATAAAGAGATCAAAGGATGTCTTTATTATTTTTTGGCTTCTACATTATTTAATGAAAGCCAATGAAATGATTTTATAATTAGATTACAAGTATCAAAAAGCATTAGTGAAGATCTAAAGCATGTATTCTATTTTGTACTTCTGTATCTTTGATAAACATAAGTTCTATTAGATTATGAACTGTTTTTACTATTGTATTACACCAAATAATCCTTTATTAAAGTGCTTCATAGTTATAGTATATTAAGTTTTATTCTCTTTTTAAACCCTTTAGGTACTGGAACTCCAGATGAGGTCAGTTTTTTTTTTCCTTCTCATATTATATTGCCGGAACTAGAATACTTAACAATCACTATGATTCATGTCCTACTGGTATAAACCAACAAATGAAAATTCTTGAGTAATGATTATATTTTTCCATTTATAACCTTATTTTATCTAAAATGCATGAAGCATTAAACACCCATCATTATGCTGACCCACAGTATTTTGTAGAGCTGAACATAAACTCTGCACATCTGAATTACACAGCGGGATATAAAATGAAATCTTCTTGTGCTTACTTTCCTACTCTATCTCTATAAAGGAAAAAAAATAGTTTAAGCAAGCCAAATTTATGTACACTTAAAATTTATGCCTGTTTTACTAAGTATTTGATCGATGTGATACGTGTATGTTTCCTTTTTGAATAATTAGAAGTAATCATTGTTAATGTTTTTCTTGACAGGAGCAAGAGAGTGATGGAGAAACATATGAAGACATGTATGAATTACATTTTTTTCCATGATATTTTTCTTCTAAATAAGAGAAATATAATGACTTGTATGAGGGAGGATGGACTGATATGCAACACTAGAGGAGAAGCTTTATAGTTCAAATGGCTGGCATATAATAACCTTTATTTTCAGTACAAGGGACTAAAGATTCTTTACTTGCCTAAGGATTCACAGAGGACTCTGAAAATGCTGTTGTGTGAGAGGCCAGAGACCCACAGCCCACCAGACAGACCACAGCCAGGGAATCATGGAGCTGGGAATCTATTTCTTGCTCTCAGGGTGCCTTTGGACAAATGAATTCATTATATGTCACAACTTCTCACCTAGGCAGTACTTCACCTCACAAGGGTGTTATAAGAAATAATTTAGCACAGCACCAGATGCCTAAGTTTCAGCCTGCTAGAGCAGACAGATGTTAAAAATAGCTCCAAACCGGGTTTCTCAGTAGTCCAGGACTAAGAAATGATTTCGAAAGCAAGTGAAAATTGTGTGTATTTTATCTCCTGTTGATTCAAATGTCTCAATTTTCTCTCTCCAATTCTCATTCACCCAATTCTGACTAAAGTGTCTGGACTAAGGTTTCCCTTTATGCACAGGTACGCACTCTTGTACCTGTGAGTCCATGCACATGAGACACGGAAAGTACAACTAACTGTACTCATGCTGACATGCAGCAAGAAGAGAGCCTTTACAAACAGTGCCTCCCACTTGCTGGCACAAGTTGTAAGGGGACATAGAGCCTTTGGAAGGGCTCCCCATTTGTATGTCTCCTACTGGTTTTAAGAACAATCTCACACACCCAGGAATTTTGATAACCCTTGGCTTTTTACCTTCCTCTGTACTTCAGACACCATCTTCTGTTGTGCAGAAACGTCCCTGGATGGGGCACCCTAACACATCAATGCCTGCAGATGCTGAAAACAACCTAACAATTTTTATTCACAGAGAAGCATCCAAAGAACGAGATAAAAAAAGGGAAAAGGAGGAAAAGAAGAGATTAGAGCTGGAGAAAAAGGAACAGAAAGAGAGAGAAAAGAAAGAACAAGAAATAAAGAAGAAATTTAAAGTAAGAGCTTGCTTGCGGATAGATGAAAAAGAGTCATTTCCTTTTTTAACTTTGACGTGAAAGGGACACCATTCTTGAATACTTACATGGCTGGAGAATTACTTAATCATTTTCTCAACTACCTTTATAACAGTACTTTTCTGGTCCATATGCTTCCTATTCCTGCACTAAAAATGTAATACAATAAAATCCAAATACAATATGGTGGCTTATAATTAGGGGGCATCCAGGACATTTTTTTGTCGATGGAGTGAATGAATACTTGGTTACTTACACCCATCTTGGCTCTCCCCATTCTCTATTTCATATTAGCCTGCTTATACTATGAGCTTAGGTCCACACACACAGATATCATAGTGGTTCAAGGGACATATGTGTCTCTAAATGAGCCAGATCTGTCTCAGAATAAAGTTTCTGTAAGCTATTCTGACTGTAAGTCTAGACCTGACTTATATTTTTACCTTTACTTTAAGCCTATGCACATGTTGACTTCTGGTACCTACTGTCTCTCATCTCTCTTCATCCACCTGGGTTTCTGACCTCTGTCCTCTGTCTCTGATTTCTAATGCCTGACTTCTACCATCAGCCCTGCACTTGCAGGCTATCCTCTCTTGGCTGCACTATCTCTGATGACATGGCCTGTTTGGTATGCGTCTGGTATGTCAGCTATATTTAGGGTGGTTATCTGAATTACAAAACTATTCTCCACTACAAAAAAGGATTCATATGAGGTTTCCTTTAAATATTTAATTCCTCTCAAGCATTTAATATACTGTTTGAATTATAAACATTTGACTTATATATAACTTCCCAGCATATTTATGGTATTAAAACGAAAGTTCAACAATATGGCAACAGTACAGCGGTAAAGCTTAGAGTCAGTTGGACAGATGTGGATTCAAATTCCAGTTGCACATGCAAGTTGTGTGATCTTGTGTAAGTCACTAAGAATTTCAGATTCTTGTTTTTAAAAGTGAGAACAAATGACACCTCTCCTAAAAGCTTATTGGAGAATTACATTAAATAACGCACATAAGGCACCATACTACATTAGGTTCTCATTACATTCTGAAAGGGCTTACTTCATATAAGTCAAATTAAGATTATAGTATGAATGTATGGCTACCAACATTTATTTTTTACCAGTGGAAAATATGAAAAATGAATTTCTTAAGTGAAGATCTTCAGGACATGTTTTATGACAATTATTTATAGTTTTGAAGGAATTACATGAAGTTATTCCTTGTGTTTCTGTTGGAGAAATCAATTTTGCATTGTTTCACTCGTTCATTCAAATAATACTTTTTTAGTAAGAAAACATTAGGATATGGAAATTAAACCACTAAATATGCAATCAAGTTTGTCAAAGCTAGGACTTCACAAGCTATATTCCTTCTGGAAAATATTAATAGGTGTCAAAATTAAATAAGCGAGAAAACTATTATGTAGCACCATATTTTATTAATTCTAAGATATAAAATGTTTTGCAATTTTTAAATTCTGAAATTAAAACGCATCTTAAGATCATTGGTGTATCACAATTTATTAAGCTATTTTCTTAGTGATATATACTTTATGATGTGTCTCGATTAGTAACATCATAAGTTCAATAAAATAGGGTTAATCATCTTCAAACGTCACAATGCATATTTGCATATCAAAAGATCCAAGAAATTCTGTTGAAAAGACGTCAGTTTAGGATTAGGAAATTGGGAGTTTAGAATTCATGTTCTGTACTAGATTATTTCCCTGCTGTCTAGAAATCATCATACTATTCAAGATACTAATTTTTTAAAACTCACCTAACATTTGTTTCCTTTTTTTTAAATTTACAAAGCTGTTTGTAACATATTATCTTGTTATTACAGGTAATGTCTACTCCAAATTTAGAGATAAAGTACCACAAAGTTTAAAAAGAAAAGAAAGGAAGAAAATACTTTTTTCCTAAGTACAACCTACCACTACCACCTTTGCTGTTTCAGGCCTGCAGGGAACCACCAGGACAACTCCACAATGCAGAGGAGGAAAACACCTCCGTCTGCCGGTCAGACCACCAGCAAATACCATAAAAACACACAGCACCCAGCATGATTGTTGAACATAGTGGGATTTGGTTATCGTGGCTTCCTTTGAAAGCTTTTCTTACAGAGTTCCTGAGGTCAGCAGATCACTGCCACTCTCTTGGACCCCAAGGACATGCTTATGGTTCTTTACTGCTTCTGCCTGACCTCTGTGACTTTCCCCTAAGCCCTCCTATAGAAGAAGCTTCACCCTCAGTTTCTAGTTCAAACCTGTAAATGTTGGAAATAGGCAAGTTGACAACATTGTGGACATATTGTCTTTCTAAACTGCATTCCTTCAAGATTTTCTGAATAGTAAGGACGGCTGTTGTGATTTTTTTCCCTCTCTTTGCAGCTAACAGGCCCTATTCAAGTCATCCATCAAGCAAAAGCTTGCTGTGATGTCAAAGGAGGAAAGAATGAACTGAGTTTCAAGCAAGGAGAACAAATTGAAATAATCCGCATCACTGACAACCCTGAAGGGAAATGGCTGGGCAGAACAGCCAGAGGGTCCTGTGAGTGCAAATTCTCCTGTAACTTCAAAGGGTGTCTTTTTGAGCCAATATTAAATGTGTAAATTCTTCCAGAACAACTCAGAGGCATTAAATGAGGAGTACTTGTTACAGGGTAGATAAAGATAGAAAGATTTAAAATGACAGGTATAACCCCCATCTTCACCTCATCTGTGTTATCATTTTAGTGGGGAATGATGTAAATACATACATTATTCCAGGGAGAAACCAGGGGCAGTAGGCTCCTAAATGATGTTAAAAGGAAAACAATTCATGTGCATCACTTCAGAGTCTTTTAAGTATAACTCTAGGCTTACCCCAAACCACAACAGCCTAAGACATTGACGAAGTAAACATGTGTCTGCATGGGATGTCTATAAATCAGACTTGCGAGCAAAGAAATGAAAGGAAATATTAAAGAGCAAATGGGCAATTGATATTTTATTCACAACTTTGAAATATTTAAACTACAGTTACTTGAACATATTTCATTCCCCTTTTGGTAGATGGCTATATTAAAACAACTGCTGTAGAGATTGACTATGATTCCCTGAAATGGAAAAAAACCTCTCTTGGTGCTCTTTCATCAAGAGCTATGGAAGATGACCAGGAAGTGTATGATGATGTTGCAGAGCAGGATAATATCAGCAGGTAGGTGCAAATACAAATGGTAAAACAGATCAGACTGTCTGTCTCCTTGTCAAAGATTATGTATTTTAAGATCCTGGAATTTTACTTTCTGTATTTCCTACTGCTCTCTATTACTGAACTAAATTACCATTTATAAGTACTCCAAAGTCATTTGAAACTCCGCTGTCTTTTATTTTACTCATTGGTTATACGTGCCAAATACTACTTGAAATGTAATGGCCCATTTGCCAGATCTTGCCAAATGTTTTGTCATTCCAAAACGCTGTTTTATAACATTCATTCTGACTTGATCTTAGGGCTATGCCTCAAGTAAATATAGTTTTGCAAAATATGAAGCATGTAACATAAAACTTAGCTCTGAAAAATATAAAATTCTTTGCTCTAAAATCTCTGAGTCTAAATATATTTGTTGTTCTTATATAACAGAAACAATGATACTTTTTACCACAACCCTACTTTGCTCTTTAAAAGTAGAAGCTCAGTTTTACTTTTAACAGTAAAATTTGGTTCCCTATGATCCCTGGGGACCAAATAAGGGGCCAACCTTACATGGCCATTCATTCCACTAGATTAGACTGACCTTGCTTCAAGAATGTGGGAACACATTTTTTCCTCCTCTGATCTTCCTGGTGCTTTCCTCTCCTTCTTACTTTTCCATTCCTCTTTCATTCCTTCTCTCTTCCAATATCTCCCTTTCCTGGTAAAACCATAACCCCTTCAAGTTGAAGGAGAATAGGGAGGAAAATCTGCAGACCAGTTAAGAACCCTTGTTTTTCTATGGCCACGTTGTAGAATTGGGAAACCTCCACTGTGATCCCAAACACATGATCTCTGCTAGATCTTCACTTGGGTAAAAATATGTTTTCATTCTTTATCATTCAAATTTCAAAGGAAAAAGTTTTAATGATCAACCATTTAGAAAATGTAAAATGATCAAAATAGTAATACACTTATAACACATAATGATATACAAAGTTTCCCTCTTGTGGTCTTTTCCCTCATGTCATCAATTAAACTTGTGCCACTTTCTGGCAGTTTTGTCTTTCTAAAATGAACTATAGCCTGCAATGCCATCTTATCATGTTATGACCATAAATTATGCAATGTATATCAAAACATGTGATGTATCCACTGGGATTTACAGATCATAAATTGGCTTTAGTAATTACAGACACAATTGACCTAGTTCAGAAATCAGTGAAATGCCAGTTCTGAGATCAGATGAGGTTCTGAGATTTATAGATTTTCTGGACATGAATATGTCATTCTACATGTTTTATCAGTATATATACTTTGAGTTTATCTTTTAAGAAAACCATATTTCTCTTATTTGGGGATCAAAGAACCCTGCTATATTAATAAATATATATTTACACTGATGCACGTACTCAAGAAAAAAATAATAAATCTGCAAAAAAGGGATGATGCTCTAAAAATGGTGCATTATTTAACCATAATAAGTGACTATTTCCCATAACTAACAGTATTAGCTTTTCCATTGTTTCAAGTCCATACATGCTCTAGTTAGCAAACACGTAACAGAAAAAAAAAATTCTTTTAACAAAATGGAGTTGGAGGGTATGATTTTAATGCTCAGTATCATAAACAAATAGACCACCACAACATTTACCAGCATCTATTCCTCCCCTATGCATATTTAATAAGAAAATGAAAGAAGAGATCATTTCTACACAAGTTTTTTTTTGTTTTTGTTTAAACTACAGCTGCTGCTGGCAGAGATCTCATAACAGAACATGCTTTGTCCTTAGTAGAACAAGGAAAGATGCTGAGTCTAGCCAGAGGCTTGCCCTGGCAAGAATAAGAGAAGGCACCATCCTCTCCTTCCCCTCCTCCAGATGCCCCCTGGTCCCTGCACTCTTTAGCTGCTCTTTCTTCCAGGACAAGGAGAGCTGACCAGCCACCTCAGACTCCATGAGCTGACAGGAGGCTTAAAAGCACAGGTCCTGACAACTCTCTGCCTTCCTTTATTCTCAACCAAAGCAATTTTATAATAAATATGAAATGTTGACAGAAAGGAAGTTAAAAATGCAAATACCACTCTTCCATCACATAACAAACTTACTCCTATGTATGCTTCCCAACCGTTGTCCTTCCCTCCATCCTTCCCTCTTCCTCTGTGCTTTTCTCTTCTTGCACTCTCCTCTCCTTACCTCTACTACTTCTGTTAAACGTTTTGTATTCCAAACAGACCATTTTAGGAAGGTGAAGAATTGCTCCAAAAATGAAATAATGTATAGCAGCTTTGCTCCTCATGATTGTAAGTCTGCTTTCGGGTTCTCCTGGGAATTGGATTTGACAGTCTCCAAAATGGAATATATTTGTCAGGAATGGCAGCCAGCCAAAATTGCAATTTTTCACATAATTCCACTGTTTGTTTCATGCTCAAAGGGAAGCATCAGAGAAAAAGAATGTGAAAATAGTATGTAAACAAGTGGGGAATATACTTATACCTACTAAAAAATCACTTACTTACTTAATATGTTAAGACATTTATAACATATTTTTCCAAAGGTTTCATTACCAAGAGTATGTTTTTATTTTTAAATTAACAATAGATCTGCATCAGACCAGTTTCTTTTATCTTGATTTCAAAGGGAAAGAATCAGATAGGAGTATGTAGTAACACTGTATGGTTATAATATCAGACTGTTGCTGGTAGAGTATCCCAAAAGCAACAATTGCAGTACAGGCAGTGCAACAAGGTGTAGACAAAACATTGTACAGAAAGGAAGGATCCTGAAGTTCTTAGCTCTTCGGTTAATTAAAAGTGGGTTTGGTTAAGTCATTTAATTTCTTGGCACTTCAGTTTCTTTTTTGCAAAATAAAGGAACTGAAGCAGATGACTTCTGAGATTCTTCCAGTTCTCACAATCTACACTTTCTTTGCTCTCACAGAATTCACACTTTAGTGGGAGACACAGTTAAAAAAAACGATTTTAAAATAGGGAAAATATAGAATGTTATAGAAATAAATAAGATATACAGGCAATATGAGTTAGAGAATCACACTATTTAAAGCCCCATAAATAAGATTTCAATTTTTTTTAAAGTTCTCCCTTAGAATCATAGACACTGAGAAGTGTCTGGTGGTTACCATGGGGGAGGAGTTGGGTGGGGGAGAAAGTGAGGGGGGATAAAGGGGCACAGAAATTCCTAATCATATTATAAGTTGGTCACAGGGATAGTAGTACAACATGGAGAATATAGTCAAGGATTCTGTAACATCTTCCAATGTTGACAGATAGTAATTGCATTAGTGGGGGTGAGCATTTAATAATATGGGTAATTGTTGAACCACTATGTTGTATACTTGAAATCAATATAAGATTATATATTAATGATACTTCAATTTGAAGAAAGAACGCAATGCTATTGGACAAAGAGTAAAATGATGTGGTTATGATATTGAAAGAGAATTGAATTTAATGCAATAATGGTTCCATATGACTTCTAGAATAATACTCTTGTTACTTTCTTTAAAAATAAGTCCCTCTATGGAATGATATAATAATGTGTAATATGAAAACTGCCTTATGGAAAATGTTAGAAGCAAACAGTATCATTGTTTTGAATGCCTTAGGTAGATCTGAAACTCACTTGATTCTTATTAGGTTTGTTTTGTTGCTTGCCTTGTTACTTCTCATCCATTACAATAAGGAACAATGTTTCTTCCTCCTCACATGTAGTATCCTGAGAACTTCTCATTGGAATGTTATTTCTCTTTTGCTCCATATATGTACTTCTCTTCCCAATAGCTAAATAATTCATATATTAATTTAATTTGTCTGTTTTTTCTTAGCCACAGTCAGAGTGGAAGTGGAGGTAAGTCACAGACTTTTATCAGCAGTTTCTCAAAGTCTTCAACATTTTGGTTGTATTCATGATACATGCTTTTGTTTGCAAACCATGAGGAGGATGTTTATGTGGTAGAAAGAATTCTGGACTGGGAACCAATGGACTGGATTCCAGTCCAGACCACTGAGTGACGCTGGGCAAGTCACCTCTTTCTTCCAAGTTTGTTATGAATGACTCCACTTCCAATGAGCCCAGGGCAGTCCTGATATATGCCAGTTGTCTGAGCACAGTTCTCAATAGCAATCCTTCACTTTCAGAAGCATCTTTAATTGGAGAATAACTCTTACGGTCACCTTAGCCATGACTCCTAAAGGCCCCTTGTTTTCTCATCAACAAAATAAGAGTATTTTACTTATGATTTGCAATGCTAAAAAAGTTATTTGTCAAATAACAAGGTGCTTAAGGAGTGGCGGATAACAAACCAAACAGAAAAGGGTTTAACTTTTAAAATATTTTTTTGAGGAAATAAAAGGCCACCTTTCATTTCTTTCTTTGTATCAACTACTATCAATGTTCACAAATTCACTGTTCATCCCATTTGTTTTCTTCACTTATATCTTAGTGTCTTTTTCTAAATGTCTCGTCACTGTTAATTAAATTTTTCTTATCAACTTCTCAGTTCTCTTTTTCCACAATAAATTTTTAACTCTATTCTCTATTCAATTTTACTTTTTCTCATATTTATTCTCCACCATTCCTTTCATCTCCAGTGCATAATACCTTTTACCATCCCCCATATCTTTATTATATTTCAACTCTAAGAATTCCTTATAAAGTAATCAACAAAACAATTCCTTTACCTACTATCTATGTAAGAGTAGGAAAATAAAGTTGATTTTTATTTAAATAGTAAATATGAAAGAGGGATACTTTCTGCAGTTAAATATGGCAGATCTATGATCAAATTTTGAGTGACTATTACATGACCAAATTACAAAATTAACAGAAGATTTTCCTCCCTAATCCAAATGAAGGGATGTTCCCACCTCCCCCAAATGATGATATTTATGATGGGATCGAGGAAGAAGAAGATGATGGGTAAGAATAATCAATGAATTACCTTTTTTCATATGATTGTATATACTGAAATTTAGTTTTGATTTCTAGTTAGAGTAAAAAATGGTATTCCTTACTACATTACCAAAATGACCTGAATGTATAATTAATATCTGTAGTAAATCAGGAAATGTAATTGAACCACACTTAAAATGAAGTGGTATACCGTTTGGAAAAACTTCAACAACTATGTCAAAAAAAAGTGAAATAAATAAAGGATAAAGAGTTACAGACATAGATTTTTTTCAAAGTGTTTCCACTCATTTATTTAACAACCAATAATTTACTTTTACAATTCTCTCTGGAGAGCTTTATCAGTTGCATGACTATTCCTTATATAATAATCAAAGTTATAGGCAATCCAAATAAATTGAGACCATATGCTGTCTGTGGCAAAAGCAGTATTAAATACTTAATCCTTCAGTCATTTAAGCCTTTGAAATGGCATATTTTTAAATTTAAGATCTATTAATTACTTAACTTTAATCATAAAATAAAGCTAAATTGATGTTTAAAACTTAATCCTGAATTAGCTTGCTACTTTAAGAATGAAGAGAAATCTCACTAAACAGAAAAAAAAACAACTTACCTACTATTTACCTAGTAGCAGCAGTATTCAAAGACGCTGACCTATATGCTAAATAGTATCATCATGTTGAATACAATGAGTAACTTACTGCCTGAATGATCAATGCAGCATAAGTATAAAAAACCTGAAAGTCCACCCAGTATCTTTACGTTCCACCAATTATTACATTCTGACCAATGCCTGCATGCTCCCAAGCTCCACACTACAGGTTGAAGAGAAGAGTAACTCGTGGTCCTGGGGGATTTTGAAGATGATAAAGGGAAAAGATGACAAAAAGAAAAGTATACGAGAGAAACCTAAAGACTCTGAGTCAGTCAATAATGAAGGTCCATAGTAAGAGTCAACCAAACAAATCCAGTGCACAATAACTACACTAATATTAATTTAATCAAATGCTACTAATATTTTATCACCAATAACCAAATTCTGACAGGCTGAAATCGTTTTAATGTTATTTTCTGTTAGTCTTCTTCGCCTCATTTACTACACACACACAACATCACATACTCATACACACACGCTCTATTTAGGAGGATTTATTTTTTTACTATAACAGTATTTTAACAATACTTATCAATATTTTATATTGACTACTCTTTTAAAAATCAACTTGCTAAAATAAAGGATCCAATTCAAAATTTCTTTTCTCTAAATACAGTACTTTCAGTCTTTGTAATTCCGTTATACAGCAGTGATGCATTATTTCTATTTGAATAACATATTTATATTATACTAAAATTATTCTATATATCTTCAGTTTGCCTAAATAAAAACTAAAGGATAAATTTTCTATTTCCATCCCAAAATAACTTTGGCATAAATTACCTATGAATTTGAAGGATCTTAGTCATATTTGCTGATACTTATTGTTTTATATGTGCCTAATAGATTCACCATACTTAGCTGAAGTCTTTATAAGATATTAATTCCACATAGAATTCCTCATTTTAAGTCCTTTTGTGAGACACTAAAACAGCACTCAATAAACAGAACTTAAAATTATAAGTAAAGAAATCTTCTCTTGATGCAGCATTACTCAAATACAGTCCTTACTTGGAAATAAAAGCAGAGGTTTGTTTTTTTCACCACACGTACACATCACCTAATTTCTGATTTTGAATCATTTGAACTAATGACCTCTCACACTTTACTGTAACCGTGCACCATTCTTCCAGTGATGTTTGTGTGTTTTTAAAGTCCAGAAAGCAATAAAAGCAAAGATCTTTTTCTCTTGCAACTAAATGTCACCCAATCCTGATTTCAGATCACCTCTATTAATAACTTTCTCTCTGGTCTCAACAGATATTCTTTTCTTATTCACCATTCTCCTGTTTTATGATATGTATGTAGTCATATGAAGATTCCTATGACCTTAATTGGTTTTGACTTTGTATTTCCACTTCTTGAGTCAAATAAACAATTTGGGGCCTGAGCTATATGCTACAGTGACTCCAAATATTGGGTCTGGTTAATTTACTCTGATGTGAAAATATGCCCAAACCTCATAGAACCAATCAGAAAACATGGGTCTAATAGCTATGGGGGCAAAATAAACTACTGAATGTCTTGACTTTTAACTTTTTGGGCCAACATCAGAATTCAAAAAAGTCTTACTAAATTTCTAATTAGTAGACAGAAACTGGGATTTAGTGGAGAAATGGAGGATGAGAAAGGAATGAAAGCCTATAAACCTCTAGGCTGTTAATCTGTCTCAAATAAAGGACTCAATTTCTGTGTTTATATTGGTCTCATAACTGTTCTCATTTTCTTTCCAGTTTCCCTGCTCCTCCTAAACAACTGGGTAAGTAATAAAAGCTAATTATGCATTGTATATCTCATTTCTTGCAGATGGGACATGGAAAAAGCACTGGATATTCATGATATCTAGACCAATGTCCCGACTCTGAAGATAATAAATTGTATAATCTTGTCAAAGAACTGTACCTTGGGTAGCTACAGTTTCTCAGCAGTAAAATGGTGAGAAGAGGAAAATACTGTGGTTTATAAACAGTTCTGCTAGTCACTGGGGTCACTATGGACAGAGGGAGAAGTGAGCAGGGGATTAAAAGTCTAAAGTCTTGACCCCATGTCCCCCAACCACAGTTCAGTCAGAGATTGATATATTGGATCTTTGCATAAAGATTTCTAAAAATATACCAGATTTTTAGGCCACCAAAGCCCTAAATCTAAATTTCTTTGATCGTTTAAATATATGACTTACATTTGGACATTTTCCACTGCTTAATGTTAAACAGTTTCTTTGTACAGTTTCAACACCTGTTGAGACAGAGCTTTAAAAGACTTTTCTTAAATTTATTTTGCACAAAACAAAATGTTTCACAAGAATATTCAGGGGCTTTCTAAATGTTTATTTTAATTTATCAATAAATTGAAAGAGTAAACCAAACACAAAGATAATCTATTTTCCAGACTGTTTACCTGACTTTGTTTTCAGTTATCAATTTGAAAATATGTAAGACTCCAATTCAAACTGATCAATAACTGATGATGAGATTATATCTTAATAAAAAATTTTCAAAAAGTACCCAAGAAACTTAGCTCCACAAAGAGTAGGTATAAAATGGAGCAAATCTGATCAATTAAGTAAAAAAAAAAGTTTTTTCTTTTGTTCTCAAGTATGTCTTAAGTGTTGTGTATGGAAGGGCAATTTTATCCATCCTGGAAGCCAATGATAAGTCGTAATTTTTACACATTTATCATAAATTCTTCATATCTGAGCAAGTTTTATCCTGTGTTAATTAACCTGAATGGGGGGAGAATACACACACATACATACACAGAGGTATGTGCATACATATATACAGCACGAGTATATACAGAGAGGGGAATCTTCAAAGGAAATAAAATCCTGCCACTAGCAGAGGACATTTAAACTTGCAATGGTAATTTTTCCTTAAAATATTTGTATGCCCTTCAACTCAGCTTGCTTTGCTGTGGAGAAACTTAATAGGTGGAGAGAGGAAGGGCTTTAATAAGTGGATTCCTCCTGATTTTATTAAAAAGAAGTCTAGAAGGAAGAAATTATCTCCAGATTGTAAAAGCCAGGAACCAGATAAAGTCAGAGCAACTTTTCAACCAATACTGATTCTCAAAACCTGCTAGTGTTAGAAATGTCTTATTAGTAGAAACGCTCTTTCCATTTTAAGGTAGTGCCACACCTAATATTACTATAAGGTGAAAATTAACAAAGAACAGATCACTGAGTAAAAGAGAATGGCAGATACAAATAGATAGGTAGATGGATAGTTAGACATAATAGATAAAGACAAAGACTTAGACACAGACATAAAAATAAAATGTTATCTATTATCATAGCACCCCAAATCCCATAAGAAATTTGACTTCGGTCTCCATTGCCTATTGCCAGTGCTGGTAATGGCTGATTTGTTTTCAGCTCTTTTATAATCTTGCCATTCATTCATCACTTTTGGGGATCTTCATAGAATCTCAATCACTGTTTTGGGGGACTTTCCCTGATAATGATAGTTGCAAACAGAGTCACCGGTTTTCCAAGGGATATTTATTTATCCAGGGAGTCATCCAGGGAGATTAGAACGTCTCCCTTTTAAGGAACAGAAAAGGCTTCCAAGGAGAAATGTACAGAGACCCCAGGAAAACTCCCTTTGTTGTCCTTGCAACAACTTCATGTTAAAAACATCATTGAATGCTTCTATCAAAATATAAACTAGCAGTGCTTCAACATTTGCTCTTTTATCTTCTATTAGACATGGGAGAGGAAGTTTATGATGATGTGGATGCCTCTGATTTCCCTGCTCCATCAGCAGAGATGAGGTAATTAACATGTTCTCATTGCAGTGAAGTAATGAAAATCAGACTGCTCAAGAAAATTGAATTAGAATGAAGTTATGACGGAGTGTATGTCCACTGTGTGTGCTCATGTTCACTTTGTCCTCTTCTCCGTGATTCCAGCCCTGATTGTTTCTACCAGCCTTGATCCTCCTCCTCCTGTCTTTCCCGTACCTCACCTTTCTCCCTCCCCCTCCCACATTCCCAGTGGTTTTTCTCCTTTTCTGCTCATTATCCTCTGTCCTGTGACTCACTGAAGTCTGAATCCATTTATTCATTCATTCAGCCATTCTCTGGGAAAATATTTGAGAGCCTGATCACATCTGATTCATCTCCTCCCTTTATTTTTGCTCTTTTGCTAAAGTCTTTTTGGCCTTCAAAACATTTCTTAGTTTATATCTCAACCCTCACCCATCTTCTGTCCGCCACAGGGAGATTTTTTTTCCCTTTGATGAAAAAAAGGAGTATTTGGTTTTTTTTTAAAAGGACTTTCAGATATGTCTCTTTTTCATAAAAGCATCAGATTCTCCAATTCCATTCAAAATCTTTTAAAAGTCAACAGTGAATAGTGGCATTCTTCAGCTCACCTCAAGTTTCAATTTAATTTTAGGCTAAAATTGGATGAAAACCTGTTAAGATCAGTTAATACAAAAGGAGTGCCTTTTGAAAACTGTTTTAAAATAGAAAGTAAATGAGAAGATACTTTTTTATATTCCAACAGATATGTGACATGATCTGACACATACTGTGTGTAAAAGCAAGAACACCTCTCTAACTTTTTTAAGAAAAAAGAAAGGTGAATAAACAGATCTTGGACTTGAATAGATAAAGGATGAAAGTAACATAAATGGAATACAACAACAGGTGTCTTCTGAGCTGCACTGGTAAAAATACAATAGAGAACTATAAGTATTTTTTACCAATATTGTTAAACTAATTTTACTGGACAAGAGGCAGTCTCAAGATCAAAGAAACTAAAGAGAAAATCTGCTGTCATTTGTAATATGAAGATCAACTTCTATAAGCAAAACAAGCAAGAAAGATTAAAGGAGGCTCATTCTCCTTTCTCAGTGCCCCATGAAAGGAAAATCAAATCTTCTTCAGGGATATGTTACTTTTAAAAATTCCTCACCATCAGAAAGTCACTTCCATCCCTGACAGTTTTTAATGCACATTTCTGTTTTATGCTACCATAGAAATGCCACCACCACATTCCATTAAATAACTGGCTAGGAACCCAGAATCATACAATGGTTTGTTTCTCCAAGCAAAACAAACCCCAGCCATTTAAACTTTATGTGATATATAGTGTTTTCTTTCCTGTTGCTTATTTTCCAAACTTAACACAATTTTATGTTCTCTAACACAGAATTTTTTTTAATTAATTAATTTGAGTAAATTGTTCTCAAAGGGAGCTTGTGGTGCATTTTTAACATTCGTGTGTATTCTGATGGCTCCAGAGTGCTAATCTGGGACAGCAATACCACTGTGGCCCAACCACTGTGGCCTAGAGTACCATAAAACAGGAGATACTCAGGGATGATGCAGAACCTAAAGCAGGATATTGTGCTAATTCGTTTCACACTGAATGAACTCAATTCTAAGATTCAAAAGTTAAGAGCCTAACATTTTAAATAAATCAGTTACAAACAAAACTTTATCTTAGGTGATCTAAACAAAAGTTTATCAATGTTCAGACATGTTCATTATTCACAAATATTCTGATTTTTAAAATTCCCTTCCAAATAGATTCACAGCCTTTCCTTAACATCCATATTTAACCCTAGTGAATGGTTCTCCTCTTTGGCTATAAATTATATCATCCAGGGAGTTTTAAAACCTGAATATTGGTACCTGTACCCCATTCAGTCAAATTAATTAGAATTTTAATTTAATTTAGCTAGAATATCTGGTAATTAGATAAAGGCAGTGGTATTTTTTAAAAGCTTCCCAGATAATCCTATGTGTGGCCAGGCTAGGGAATCACTAATTTAGGCTTAGTCACCACTCGTATCACAACTGGATTTAGTGTGGCTGGCATCTAGGAGATACCACCCTGGCTCCATTTTAAATAGGTTTGAAAAAACTAACATATAGAAAAACTTCTTAGCCATGAAAAAAATTTTTTTAAGAGTTTTTTTTTTTAATGCCTTTTCTATGACATCATCCAAGCCACTTAACTATCTAGGAAGGGTTGAAAAACATAGGGAGTTCAAGACTAGGTCAGATCCTGTGAAACCACTCATGTGTAACCATGTTTAAACTATACCTCAGTGATCTTACATGGTTCAACATAAAGGTAACTCTTCCATTTTAACTCACAATCTGTATTCTCTTGAGAAATTTCTTCTGCATTATAAACTATCATCTATTATAATGAATGTAGTGGATTTCTAAGAAAAATAATTAATTGAAAACAAATTTTAACAAAAATTCAGTATTATGAATAAAGTCTCTATTATACAGTCTTCTTTTTATATTTTTGAAATTAAGTATTGTTCTATGTGTGTTCTGCCATCTTAGTCAAGGAGCCAAGGTCAAGACAGAAGAAAAAGACCCTAAGAAGCTAAAAAAGCAGGAAAAAGAAGAAAAAGACTTCAGGAAAAAATTTAAAGTATGTCATATTTAAATGTCACACAAAGTTCAAAACACCAATGAAAAAAATTCAATGATTTTTAAGTACCAAAATGCACATTTTAAAAGTACAATTATCAATATCATAGTTACCCATCATAATTCCTTTATTTTCTACAAAATGTATTTCAGATTTAAATTTAGTCCTATGACAAATTAAGCAAACTCTCATACATGCATAACATATATACTGCAATAATCATAAATTTAGCTATCCTTTGAAATTTGATAAGATGGTAATCTAAAAATAGAATGAATAAAAAATGTGTGTGTCTGCATATATATATATACATAATACAATGAAATATATTATTCCACTGTATTGTGTATTCCATAATATATGGTGATATGTATTATGTATATATACATAGTATAAAAAATACACAATGGGATATTATACAGCCATGAAAAAGAAAGGAGTCCTGCCATCTGTAACATCATGGATGGACCTGTGGGCATCATGCAAGGTGAAATAAGTTAAAAAGAGAAAGAGAATTGCTGTATGTATATTACTTATATATGGAATCTGAATAACCAAACTCATAGAAACACAGAGTAGAATAGTGGCTGCCAGAGGCTGAGAGTGTAGAGGGAATGGAAGATGCTGTACAAATTTTGAGTTATAAGATGGATAAGTTTAAGGGATCTAATGTACCGCCAGTGAGTGTAATTATCAATACTGTGTTATGTATTTGAAAGTTGCTGAGAGAGTAAATCTTAAATGTTCTTACCACAAAAAAGAAATGGTAATTAGGTTAAGTGATAGAGGTATTAGCTAAAACTGTGATAGCAATCAGTTTGCAATATGAGTGTATCAAACTAGCATACGTACACTTTAAACTTAATATTTTTTTCACTTTGAAAATAGCTGTTGTATTAGGTTGGTGAGGTTATGAGTGATATTTTCCCCCAAAAAGTTTTCTTTAATGTTTTCATAGTATCTTTTGAATAAGGAACTGTTTATTTAGCAAAGACTTTCTTAATCAATCTGTATGAATTACTTTAATAATACACATCAATCAATAATGTGAATGTTTTCTCTTTATTTTTCCAGTATGATGGTGATATTAGAGTTCTGTATTCAACCAAAGTTGCATCCTCCTTAACTTCTAGAAAGTGGGGGACCAGAGATCTACAGGTAAAGCCTGGTGAATCTCTTGAAGTTATACAAAACACAGATGATACAAAAGTTCTCTGCAGAAATGAAGATGGAAAATGTAAGTCACTGCTTACTCTTCATAGATATGGCACTCCAGAATTTAACAAACAAACAAGTTTTAGTGATCTGATTTTATTAACTTTTTTTTCTATGCTTTGTGAATCATGGAAAACATTTGAGAAATTAGAGATCTGGCTGTGCTGAAATCAGTGTATTTTATTTTAATCTTGTTTTTACTTTCCTCCTGATTTATTTGGCACTACAGTGCCAACTTAATGCCAAATTAGTGCTTCTCAAAAGGCAGTCCAACAGACCACCGGCATCAGAATACACTTCTGTGCATAATGAAATTGCAGTTGCCTGGACCCACCCTTGACTTGCTGAGTCATAAGCTCTGGGAGTCAGATGGATTTTGTGATCATAACTTCTTCCCCAGCTTGTTCTTATGTACATTAAAGTGAAGTCCACTGTGGTAGTGGTGAGAGGCTTCTGCTCTAGCCTGGTTTTGAAATTACATAGCATATGTCACACCTCGAATTTCCCGTTTTCCTACCTTGCAAATTCACTTGTTCTCATTTCCTATTTGAACACACTTGGTATGATATAGTATTCTAAATAATTACAAGAGAGCCCCTGTCCTCTTTGACTTTATCAGCTATTAAAGCTGACAGAGGAAAACGTTTTTGTCAAATTTTAAAAGGAAGTTTATTTCATTTAAGCCCATAAAAAAGTAATTCAAAATTATGCTGTCCTATATTTAAAACTGAATGGCTACCCCATATCAGCTCGGTTAGTCTGCACAGAAAACATGAACTCTGTGAGTCGAATTTTAATGACAGGAAGGTGACTCAGGGACAGGAACTGAAATGGGAATTGTTAAGAATAAAAACAGTGACTCAAGGGTGGGGAAAATGGATCTGAAGTTATCATGGAGGAGGTGTGGTTGGCTTTTAAGGGAGAAAATGGATTGTGGGTACAAAGGATAAAAAGCAGGGATACAGTAGTATTAAGACTTGAAGCTCACTGGAAATAATGTATAGATCATGCTCCAGGAGACAAAAACCCCCATTCAGACTGGCATCAGTAGGATGTAACCCAAGGAATAAACTTAAATGCAGAAAAATATGTAAATTAAAAGGTCATCAAAAATAGTTTTAAAATTCTCAAAAATACAAAGATTTTTAAATGTGATGAATATTCCAAATTGAGTATTGAATATTTTACATGATGACTCTGATAATGTGAAGAAATTCTCATGACACAATTGTAAGAGAAATAAGAAGCCTGCTTAATATGGGATAGGATTTACAGCCATTTATGCAAACAAAAGAAACTAAACTTAAGTGCATGCTAATAGTGGTTGATTAGAGTGATAGACCTAAATGATTTAAAAGGAAGTTTATTTCATTTAAGCCCATAAAAAAGTAATTCAAAATTATGCTGTCCTATATTTAAAACTGAATGGCTACCCCATATCAGCTCGGTTAGTCTGCACAGAAAACATGAACTCTGTGAGTCGAATTTTAATGACAGGAAGGTGACTCAGGGACAGGAACTGAAATGGGAATTGTTAAGAATAAAAACAGTGACTCAAGGGTGGGGAAAATGGATCTGAAGTTATCATGGAGGAGGTGTGGTTGGCTTTTAAGGGAGAAAATGGATTGTGGGTACAAAGGATAAAAAGCAGGGATACAGTAGTATTAAGACTTGAAGCTCACTGGAAATAATGTATAGATCATGCTCCAGGAGACAAAAACCCCCATTCAGACTGGCATCAGTAGGATGTAACCCAAGGAATAAACTTAAATGCAGAAAAATATGTAAATTAAAAGGTCATCAAAAATAGTTTTAAAATTCTCAAAAATACAAAGATTTTTAAATGTGATGAATATTCCAAATTGAGTATTGAATATTTTACATGATGACTCTGATAATGTGAAGAAATTCTCATGACACAATTGTAAGAGAAATAAGAAGCCTGCTTAATATGGGATAGGATTTACAGCCATTTATGCAAACAAAAGAAACTAAACTTAAGTGCATGCTAATAGTGGTTGATTAGAGTGATAGACCTAAATGATATATTTTCTTTCCTCTATTTTCCAAATTATTTCACATTTTTCACGACAGAGAATGTCCCAGTACTGATCATGTGGACCTTTCTCCAGTACACAAGCTTCAGACACATTTTACCATGCTGTCCTGAGATTACTGTTCTTAGCAACAAATGCCATTTGGTTTTGAAAGCAACAATCCAAGTTGAGATCAAAGCTCCTCAACTTAAAAGTACATACACATCACATGGAGATCTTGTTAAAAATGCAAATTCTAATTTAGTAGTCTGAAGCGAGGTGTGACATTCTTCATTTTACCAAGCTCCCAGGTAATTGATGTGGCCGGTCCTTGGAACATACTCTGAGTAATAAGAATGAAAATGACCTCCTCAACAAACATGTATGGATATAGACAAGCAGGAATACGTACTGCACCAGAAAAAGAAATTTAGAGAAGACTTCTATCTACCTTAATAATGAGAAAAAGAAAAAACCACTCAGGAATAATTTTATTATTTGCAATCATTTCCTATTTGGACATCAAAAATTCTAAATACTGTGGTGATTACAGAAGGGCTCCTGTTCTTAGAATTTATCATCTGTTAAAAATAAGATGCAGAAACATTACATTTTAAAAATCCTTCCTTAAACTGGATCCTTGACATTCTTAATTTTCTTAATTTCTGATCCATTCCTCACATAGTCCTATAGGATTTGAGATGATTGCTGTATGGATTTAACCCTCCCTCACCTAGATTATAGCAATAACCTTTCAAGTGATATGTCTCCCTTATCCTTACCCTTATCCATTCCCCACACTGTTACTCAAATATTATTTTTAAAAGCACAAAGTCTTTAGACTAGTATATTAAAACCTTTATGATCTAGCCTCACCCTCATCAGCTATTTCCTCACCCCATTAGCTATTTCCTCGCCCTCATCACCTGTGTCAGTAGCTGCAACTGACACTTCACAAATACAAACTACTTGTCATTCTCTAATAAATCATACTATTTTGTCCTTCTACACTATTTTATTCTATTGGAATGCCCAAATTGTCTACTGGAAACAACTCAGTTGTCATCTCAAAGTGGAAGCATATCTACTTCCTACTCCCCAGCCACCTCCTCTCAATTCATCTCTCCCCTGGTCTTCCATGAACCACTTTTGCTAATGTAATTGTCCCTTTTGTTATACAAATATATTACTCTTATTAGACTATGAACTTGAGAGCAGCTTCAGTGAAGTGTTCTCAACATTGTATCACCAACACATTTTACAGGGCCTGGCATCTTGTTTGGGGCTTGAGGAATTGACTGTAACAATTTGGAGATTGCGGTTGGAAAACCAAATTGAAGGCTGGCATATAGACATTCACAGGAAGAAGTCTGTTGAATAGTTTAAGTTGTTAGAAGAAATTCTCTGTCTTAGCGTTAGTAATGACATTTGCTTGTTATGTATCATTTCTCTAAATCTTGCAGTTCCTTATTTCTAAGTCTTCTGATTAGCAGTAGAGGCATTTACAATCTAACACCATAGTGACCCTAACATTTTCCTTACTCTCCATTCTTCTTTAATCCATCGAAGAAAACATAGCTTACTTAAACCTAATTTACAATGATAGAAATAAGAAGCTAAATCATTAACAATAATCCCTTGCCATTGTGAAGTGGAGTACAAGCCACTTTTACAGGTGTTATCACATTTGATCAAGTCTCACCAAATGACTTGTAAAAGTGCATATTGTGGAGGCATTGAGGTCTTAAATATATATTTCTGGCACATCCCTAACTGTTTAGAATTTCTTGCTAATATTTGCACATATTCCACAACTCAATGTCTCATAAGCTGTGAGTTTTCCCACCTCCTGTCACTGGGAAAAAATTTTCTACATAAAGTGTGGAGTGAGACATGAGCTGAGTTATCTGTGGTCAAAATGTTCTTTGCATATCAAAGAAAAGAGAATTTTAAAGATGCTTTGGATTTTCCCAAATCCAACTGATCATGTTTGCTTAAGTAATTTTGTTTTCAACTGTAAAACAATACATGTTCACTGAAGAAAACATTTTTAGTTCAGAAATCTTTAAAGTCACCTGATTTGAAGAAATAAGAGAAGTAAGTACAAGTAAGTAGAGAGAGAGAGAAAGGAGGGAGAACATCTCTATAAAACAAGGATGATAATTTATATTTAATGTTATACACTGCATTTTGTTTTCTCTATTATATTATGAGCCTTTTCCATTGAAGTTGGACATTGTTCCACTTGCCTGGGTAAATCTATATAATATGATTTTATTGTTTTGAACCACTTGAGGCCAAATTGAGTTAATTTAACTTTATTTCTGGATTTGCTCATAACAAATGAGACAGTAAGGAAATAAGTCATTTTTTATTAAGTAAAAGATTTGAAAATATTGGAACAAAGATATTTTCCATTTTTTTTCAAGATGAGTTTGCATTTCCTTGGTAATTTTATATTCACAACACCCTTCTGAAAGGTGAGTCATTAGTCCTGGGACACATCTGCCCTGTAGCAAGTAAACATTTGGGGAAGAAATTAACTGGCACATATGGGGGGTGAGTGTTACTTTCTCAACTAGCTCTATCCCCTCACATATTTCAAAACATGTGTTTCAAGATACTGTGTTCTTCTCTATGAAGATGAGGTTTCCAAATAATACTTTCTTATTATATGTGAGAATCTTTAGTATGCCAGCACTCACAGTATTATAGGACGGACCAAACACAGCAGCCATTCTACATGGCATGAAACCATGATGAGTATTTTCTTATTCCATTTGTTTGTATTGTTCATTAACATTCCCTATGATGGATACACATGGAACATGTGAGCAAAGAGAGCATTTTTCTACTGCAAAAAAAAAAAAAATTATTTCTAGGAACTACAATGGAGAGATTATATAAAAATTGAGAGCAAGTCATTTGTTTTGACACTGGCATGAATCATACTTTTAATAGAATTAAGTTTCAGAAATTTTTTAAAGGTACCAGATAGCAAAATCTATGCTGTACTAAAAGGTCATTAACCCCATCAAAATGCTATACAACAGTAATTTTATAGCTAATGAACCCCAAATTATCACATCATTTTGGGGAACTAAAACAGAGCAGCACAGTACCATCCTACATTCCATCTCTTTGATACATATTTCTTAAATAATGTAAACAACTATTGATATTTATGTGTCTTAAACACACAACAATAGAGCACTCCACAAAAGAAAAACTGACCTCTGGGACTCTTGCACAAGCAAGATATAGGAGGAAATGTAATAGGAGTTTGAGAACCCAAGTAAAGATATTTTTAATAATTAATTTTATGATGTTTAGGTAATAAAACCTTATACCATGAGTTATTGATTTTAGACATATAAAGGATTGTTTTAGTGCTTAATAACAGGTACTGTTTTATCCAGGTCTATACAATTTTAGCAGAAATGAGTTTTTAGAAGTTGATTACCTAAATGCACAGAAAATAAAAACCTTTAATTTCCAAAAATGGTGAATATATTCTCTTTTTTTTTTTACCTTTATTTAATCTAAAGATTTAAAAAAAACAAGAAATATATTTGATGCTAGTATAATTTCAGTCTGGCAACACTTTATAATTTCTTAAACATTTTTCTGATTTTCTATATTCTAATTTTAATTCAGAGTTCAGTTTAGTTTAGTTTTTTAGTTTACAAAGCCCGAACACCTCACAAGATTGACTTCATTGTTAAAAGCTTTGACTGGTGTACATCATTATTTTTAATTAACTTAATGATGAATAGGTCATTATACTGTCTGATTTCCAATTCGTTTTAAGAGAAAATTCATAATGGAAGTAGAACCACCATTTTCACTAATGAAAAAAAATTGTGGCTATTACTGTCTGTAGAGAACTGTTAACATTTTATTTTAGCCTCAAACATGTACAGATACAGACAGATTGCAGTTATTGCAACCGTAACACAAAATCCACAATTTGTTCTAAAAGCTTGTTTTCTATAAAGATTTTCTCTTTTGAGAGACACATATAAAATTGAATTTGTTAAAGATGAGTTTATCGCCTTTTGAAAATTATGTTAAATTATGGTATATCATAAATTTTTTGAGTCTATTAACATGAAATGAATCAAAGAACTGATATCAAAGACTACCCAAGGACCATAGACATTTATTTTAGATATTCTTTATAGTAATAAATTTTGCTACTTTTGCTTTAACTGAAATAAAAAGGAAGGTGTAACATGATCTAATTTTTCATTCTCTGAGTTAAAATTACTTTATTGTGCTTTCATCATTTTGAAACATGCTTCATTACTTCCATAATACAATTCTTGCTAACTGCACTACTACTTCATTACTTCCATATTACAGAAATTCAAACTAACTTGATTCTTTCTTTTCCAAATATGATTCTTATAAACAATATTCATTAAAGAGTGATGAATTTCTTGATAAAATATTTCAGTGGAGTTTTTTTTTTAACCCTGGAATATTTCAAGGGAAAGTTAATTTTCTTAAAGGAGTTTCAATCTACAATTTCAGTAATGTGATCCCAACATTATTTGAAAAATGTTTTTGCAGTTTAAATTGACATCAGTAAATTTGGGTTTATCATCATTTGTACTAATCTTTGCTTATGAGCTTCCTGGGTTATAATTTTTTACACATTTACTCTGATTTAGAACCAAAACCAGATCTAAAGTGGACCAAAAACAATAGATTGACTCACTGAAAGAAATTATTTACAGACTGTATTGATAAGGCAATAAATAGTACTAATCTCAAGAATGCAATAGCGTTTAGGTGCTGACATCAAACTAATAATTGCAAAGGTTAGTAATATTAATTAGATGTCAGCAGACATTTCTCAAGAAAAATAGTCCTTATTTATTCTTAAAAGCATTTTTCACAATAGGGGCAAATACAGGGTGCTCAAAAATGTTTTTCTTTGCTTCCTTGAATAAAATATGGTCTATTTTCTACTTAACTTAATCATAATACTTTCATTTTCCTCACAGCATTAATCATGGCGGTAGACATGGGACTTTTCAGTATGTTTTATTCTGTGAAAGATAACAAATATCAAAGAAAGAATTGTGGCAGATAATAAGACGACATCATCATCAGTGATTATTACAGATAATTAAGAGCTAGTTTGAAAGTGTACTCCTTAAGTAATTATTGGCTCATCACCTCCTGAAGTGAACACTTAACAGGATATCACTAGACTCTCTGATATGTGTTCTTCTATAATGTTTTTCTTTGCTTCCTTGAATAAAATATGGTCTATTTTCTACTTAACTTAATCATAATACTTTCATTTTCCTCACAGCATTAATCATGGCGGTAGACATGGGACTTTTCAGTATGTTTTATTCTGTGAAAGATAACAAATATCAAAGAAAGAATTGTGGCAGATAATAAGACGACATCATCATCAGTGATTATTACAGATAATTAAGAGCTAGTTTGAAAGTGTACTCCTTAAGTAATTATTGGCTCATCACCTCCTGAAGTGAACACTTAACAGGATATCACTAGACTCTCTGATATGTGTTCTTCTAATAATGATTTGTTTCCATGAGAGATGAAAAATGCAAATGTTGACACTGTCAAATGGCAGAAGCACTAAGGGAAGACCTTCCACACTGAATCTGAGAGCTCCTTTGAGACCATTTATAATGCACACTCCCCCAAGTAACCACTAGATTGGTGATCTGAAAGGGAAGTTGAATACAGCTCTCTGTTCAATACAATAAACTTTGAAAAGTTAAGTCTTTGATCTGGTGGTATTTAAAATACCTATGAATTATTTTTGTAGTTGGAGAAAAAATGCTTAATAAGTTCTTTGTAAAACTGGGTCACGTGGCTAACACGTTGAAAAAATAACATTAAAATTTGGAGGAACCTTGTGCTACAACCTGCAGTAGCTTAGAAAAGAAAAAAATGTTCTTCTTATTTAAAGGGAAAAGAGGAAAGATTGTAAATTGTGGGAAAGAGAAATGTAGGAGAGAGAGATAAAAGTTAGAAATGGAAAAGAAAAGAAGAGGCAAGTAGACACGAGTAAGAAAATGGGTCATATTTCTAAACAGATACAATTATTCAATATATCATATCATATAGTACATTAATTATTCTATTATATTTCCATTTCTTAAAAAACAGTAAAGACATTTCAAGTCTGTACTAGTAATAAATTATTATTTATGAATTTTTTTTTCCTTATAGATGGTTATGTTCTTCGGAATTACTTGGTGGACAAGTAAGTTCATTTTTTTCTATTATGATACTTGTAAAAAGAAATTTAGGCATCTCTTTAGGAAAGATTCCTAATATCATTTAAGTAATCTACTGAACTATCATAAATAAATTCTAAAACAGTATGTTATGCTACTGTGAATATGTTAGTGCCTATAATAAAGTTAAGAGTTTCATAAAGTGTCATTGTTTTAAATAGACAAGGAACTCTTCTCATTCATGGTTATAGAGCTCATAGTTTTATGTATTCATTGGAGACAAATATTGAAAACATTGGAGACAGGTCAACACCATGAACACCTTCATTAATACTTTGCATTTTACTTGCTGAATAATGAAGTTGTTTGAATTGAATTAGGGATCAATTAGTGTCTACATGATAGGGGCTCATATCCCATATTAAAAGTCTATAGTTTGCCCCCTAATTGAGGGCTTCTTTAAACTCATACCAGGCATAGCACAGTAGAGTATTTAGTTGCCTTTTCTTTGGAAGCATGCCAGAAAAAAGATGTGCTAGTCAATGATTCTTCTATACTTATGAATAAGAACATTTTCACAATCTGTGTCACCATTGTGCTATTCCAGTGCCCCAAAACATAAGATTCTGTTCCAAGTACTCCAGTGCAAGAAATGAACTCCATTACCAGGTCATATACCAATACAAAGATTCATAGAATTCAACATAATAATAAATCAAGGAGGAGTCACAAACTATCCATAAACAACATGACACCAATCAAAAAAAGGCAAATCAATTTTAAGTGCCCTGTCAGCAAACTAGTCAAGACTCAAAAGGAAAATAATCATAATACTTTCATTTTCCTCACAGCATTAATCATGGCGGTAGACATGGGACTTTTCAGTATGTTTTATTCTGTGAAAGATAACAAATATCAAAGAAAGAATTGTGGCAGATAATAAGACGACATCATCATCAGTGATTATTACAGATAATTAAGAGCTAGTTTGAAAGTGTACTCCTTAAGTAATTATTGGCTCATCACCTCCTGAAGTGAACACTTAATAAATGGTTATTGAGTGAATGCTAGGAAAATCTGTCTTCTTTGCATTTTTATTAGACTTCATTTAGTCAAATCCTCTCTCAATCTCAGAGAAAGGATCCAAACAGAAAACGTAGGAAACGCAAGCATCTGCCATGGTTGGCAGCAATTTGAAGGGCCTGCTGCTGCTTCATGATAAAAGCAGAGAGGTAGTACAGGAACCAAAAGTGGGTCTGCCCTAAGTGACATCACCTACATTTTTGAACTAAGAAACTCTATTCTACGTTTCAAGACTATATTAACACCTAAAATACTTCCATTTATTTGCTTGCATATCATTTTCTCCTCCACTAGATTATAAGCTTTTGAAACCAATGCTTTTGTCTTACTCATATTTATATCCCCTAGTATACAAAAGGGACTCAATATGTGTCTAGAGTAGGATATTTGACAAAGATTCAGGACCAAGTAAAACTCAAAATGTGTAAAAGTAGCCAGAACTATTATTATGGATGTTGCCTGTATACATAAATATTTTTTAAATTATATAACATAAGAATTACCATATCAACTGTATTTTGGCTACTTATTTGTAACTAATATTTATATATTTTATCATTAACACTAATTATAATTAGAAACATGCAAAAATAATGCAACCATTTCTTATGCCAAATATTGCCATATTTCATTCAATATTTGAACTTCAAGTGAAAGTATAACTATTGCCAGATATAAAGAATCCATATGGCTTTGGATTAGGACCCCCCAAATGGAGTATTATGCCATGATTTTTCAGTTTGTTCAATTCAACAAACAGTTCTCACCAAGCACAGCTGTGTGCTAGACCCAAGGTTGGGTCTAAAGATGAGTAAGGCATAGTCTGCACTCTTGAGGCATGTTTCCATTATTCTCTCTGTCTGGGATATGGAATAAGTTACAGGCTTTTTATTTTTAGAATGAAATAGAGGATTAGGTTAAGCCAGTGAAAGGAGGTACAGATGAATATAAAATTTCTTTCTACTTATAAATGCATGAATGTAACTTGTCACCCTTAAATAGTTTTATTGTATCTATAAAATCATGTTATTAACCATTTAATCTAAATACTGCTGCAATGTTAAGAAGATATTTTCTTTAAAATAAAAATTGTTTCTACATTTACAGTGATGGAGAGATCTATGATGATATTGCTGATGGTAAGTCTCATATGGCACCCACCTCAGGGAATAATAACAGTGAATTTACTCTTCTTACAAATAGTAAAAATATTGTATTTTTAGTATTAGAATTGATTGGAGGCTTCCAATCTGATCAGAATTTGAATCACTTGAAAACTGTAAGGAAAGGTAAATGCCCTGGTATAATGAAAAAAGAAATTCACACATAACTGGACATGAAGGAAGAGTCTTTTATTTACTTTCTTTGAAAACAGAAGTATGAAAATATTTGATGAATTTTTCATTATGCTATGAATCTTAATAAGAATTTTTTACCCACAAAAATATGTATACTTTGCAATAAGTAGGTACTTACTTCATAACCTATAATACTTATTAATATTTTCTAAGCATTCTCTATTTCTAATTATGACATAAATAGTTAATCTTAATTGAAATGAAGTAGAGTTAATCATGTTGCCTTTTAAACTTACAGTTCTTAATGATATTTAACATTTTCAACCTTATTCAGAATGACTAACGTAAAGTACATTTAATTAAGTAATCTCAGATAAAACTCATAATCCTCATTTTGATAGAGAATAAATCTATCCAAGCAATGAAAGTTAAATAATTATATAACCTTCCATTTAACACTTTTTCATAAAGTGAGCCAATTCTACCTTTTTAAAAATCTTAAACCAAGAGAGTATGAATCACCCACATTTCTTACATTAAAACACTTAGAGGGTTTGTATTTTGTATAACCATATTTACATTTGTATTTTTTTCTTTCAGGTTGCATCTATGACAATGACTAGCTCTCAATTTTGGTCATTCTGCTACTTCATTTGAAGAAAATATGAAGTCTGGGTTTTAATTGGCATATATTATTAGTTATTACAGAAAATGAATGCACAAAACTCCTTTTATCATTTGTTATAAAATTCTGATATCTTTATAAAGTTTTGAGATGTTGGATATAGAAAATGATCTCTCTCCTTTAATCAACATCTTCGAAGACTGCATCAATACAATGCACGAATTACTAAATGTCCCATTTCTGACTCAGCTGTAGTTATGAAGGCTCTTCTTTTAGACCATCAATAGACAACCTCCCCTCCCCTAAAAATAAAAAAAACATTTGAGAAGAAATTATTGTGTTGCCTAAGAAATATAAGGACAAAGAACAAAGAAATATAAGGAAGGGAGTTTTAAAACATTCCACAAAAAGGAAAACTATTATTTGCACCTCTAATTATGATTGTATCTTATACTATCTATTCAAATTGTCTGTCTTAAAAAAGGCAATGCTGTCTCCTCTCTTGCTGGTGGGTTAAATATTTTCAGAAATTACAGTGATAACAACTTTTGTATAGTTTGTCCCTATTTGTTAATTATGAATATGTTAATTATTTTATGAGTATATGCATTTAGTATGCACAATTAAGATGAAAAACTGTAGAAGAGTCTAAAATGTTTCCTTTTTGCAAATTCATATGCTAAGAGTTTAATTCTGTACTCTGTTTTAAGTACTGTTATAACTAGAGTAGATGTGAATGAAGACTACCCTAAAAACTGTGAAGAATAAAATAATGAACTTTGAAATTAATTAGCTTTTTATGGCACCTCTTTACTATGAAGATTTCTAAAGGTTTCTGTTTTCGTTTTTGTTTTTCAATTACCTCTACAGAATTTTTTTTTTTAACCACAGTACTGGGAAGTTGGCCAGCAGAAGGAGTACAAATTAATAAACCCTCGTGTTTGGACTAAGGTGTTCCCTATTGATACATATTCATTCCCAAAGCAACCCCAAAACAAAATGTGAAGCATTTGGGTTCCAATTGCTAAGAACACTAAACACCATGATACAAAATATAAAACCTTAACACCCAAAGAAATACTTTTTCACAATTTCTAAAACATGAAATAAGCAAATCCTAATGCTACCCCTGTTACTAATGAACCATAATGTGATATTGAGTAAATTATTTGTCCTCCCAGTTTCTTCATCTGCAAGTTACAAGATTAGACTAAATCAGTTTTTCCCAACTTTTTCACTACCAATTAACCCAAACTTTTATAATCCTTCCACACCAAACCTGTGTTTTAGAAACTTTTGTTTATTTTTAAAACTCATAGACTAAATCATGATTGACACATCCAAATTTTAATATTGCAAAGGCCCATCAGAACTTCTGAAGAGTAGCCCCACTGAATTGAGATTACTTCAAATGATTGTAAAGGAACTCAAAGTCTTTATGTGGGTATACTGGAATTTCCACTCATACGTTGAGATATGGAAATAGATCAACTCCTGTTGCTCAGTTTATAGATTCTGGGAGTCGGCCCTCACATTTGAAACCAATGATTTCAAAGACCCCTTCCAAATATGAAATATTCTGATGTCTACTTTTAAGCCAAAATATGCTCACATGATGAATTTAATAGTAGGTAAAATTACACAGTTCAAAAGTATTTGTATTCATTAAATTTGGTAGCAAATATACATAATACACTGACATTGTATTTCCTGTAATCTTTTTTCTGATTGAGAATAGTACAAATTCAATACACTGTCATTTTTTAAAATTCTAAATTAAATCAAGAAAATACTTTAGAGTTTTGGTATATACCCCAAGAAACAGACACACACATGCCTATGAAAAATTTATGTAATATATTATCATATTAATATAAAAGGTATATTTGGAATATTCTAATATACTAAATATTATTTCTGTTATACTTCTATGTATGGAATTTTGTCATGTGAGAAGAGTTAGAAATAAATATCTTCAGCTGGTAACTTTGCCTCCTGCTTCAAGACATTGAGTTTATCTGCCTTTCTATCCCATAACTTGATCCCACACATACAAGAGTCTTTCTCTGAGCCTATCCTTACCTCTTCTTGGCTTTGCTGCAAAAGATGGGGTTCCTACTCTTCCAAGACCCAACTTTTCACATTTGCCTCCTATTTGTGGTACAAACTGAGACAACCAAGTGAAATACCATTCAATTTCCAACAACTTTCAACCTTAATACATATCCAGACACTATGCCAGAGAATAAAATGTCCCTCCTCAAATTCAAAGCCACACCTTTATCTTATTTCTTCATCTTGCTTTCTCTGAAGTCTTCTTCCTCCACAATTAATTCATTCTCCCCCCCCCTCAGACACACACACACACACACACACACACCCTCCCCATCCATCTTTTCCTCTCCCTTCCTCTTCTTCATCTTTATCTTCTCTCATTGTGCAGGCTTACAAACATACTGAAATATTTCCCATTTGAAAAACCATGCCTTGAATTCAAATGCCTCCCCAACTATAGACCATTTCCATTTCTTTTCTCATCCTATTGTCTTAAAATGGTAGTGTACACGTGGCAGCTAGGAGATTGTGCATCACAGACCCTCAGCTATGGGGAACTTGACCAAAGTCACCAGCTTCTACCCCCTGAAATTCATCACCACGTTGCGTCAATGCCAGACCTCTTAGAGACTGCTCCTAGCCAGTGACTGCGCATGGCAGGCCTGCTCCTGAAAGACACCCCAGCCCTCAAGGGGCCAGCTTGGGTCTTAGGACTCCCCAGCAGCCTTCTACACCTTCTTTACCCTACATAGTACTCTGGGACGCTTCTACCCAGCCCTCCCGCAACCCCATCCCACTTCCAATGGGGTCAGACTTGCACTGTTTTCAGATAGCACTTTCAAGCCTTCCCCAGATCTCTTTCTATTTCCTCTCACACAAGTACATTTCCAAGGAAAAAAAATTATTGCATTTTTACCCCATCTTGGTGTCTGCTTTCCAGAGGAAAACTGAACACAGTGGAGGTGGAAAATACACATCTTCCTCTTCAGATCAACTGAATCAGAACCTCTGAGGAAGGAAATACGGATTAATTTTTAACTATCTCCAATGTGAGTTTAGTGCTTAGCCACTACACGTCTTTACCCCACCTCGCTTGTCACCATATAGGGGCTACTCTGGGAAAGGCGTGACCTGGTGCAAGCTGACTCTGAAGTTGAGGCAGACCTTGGAGGAGCAGATAGCTGGAGAAGATCTGCAGACCACACTCCCCTCAGCTGAGGGTCCATCTAAATGCAGCAATTCCCCCTCTTTGGAAGGGGGTGTGGCAGGACTCAATCCATGTCTACAAATGGACTGAGAAGTGAATGGAAAGATAGAAAATTGAAACAGATTTTATGGACATCTCTTTCTAGAAATTTTACTATAAAAATGAGAAATATAATGTAAGTGATAGCCCGATGGGAAAATAAACTGAAGAAAGATATTTTTTATTTTGCCATGGGAAATTGTTTGTTTTCTAAGATGGAAAAGATTGAGCTTATTCAAAACTAATGAGAAGGATCTTGCTCAGAGGAAAAGATAAAAAGACAAATTAGGGATAATCAAGCATCTAAATGTCTTGAAAAGGGAGATTTTGGCAGAAATAGACACAAATTATTTTTTTTCCCCTAACAAATTATTTCTTACTACATCTGTGAAATGCGAAGCTTTGTTCTGGACACACCATAAGGACTCAAATATTACAACTTATTATTATTCTAACTGGAAATACTTGCGATGCTACCTATTTTGTCACAGTTATGCCACATACTTGAGGGGTTTATTTTAGTGACAATGTCCATCAGTCCTTCTATCACCTGCTTGAGATTATCACCTATATTATGTAACTTTGACCAAGAGTCTAAACTTTGCTAAGACTCAGGATCTGCATTTATAAAATATGAAGACACCTACTTTACAGGGTTGTAAAAGCTAACTGAAACTTTGTACTTAGCATTTAATACAGTGTCTGATACATACGATTATTACCATCACCCTGCTTGCTAGTTTGCTATTATTCACTTTGAACAGGTCGATGCAATGGAATCCTATTAAGATGAACATTATTTCAATGACTGTAAATTTGCTCTGAGTCCCAGTTATTTGCCAACTGATATTTGAGAGTAATTAAATGATTAAGAATACACACAATAAATAAAATAATGAAGGGCCAGGTCCAGTTCCTGCATCTGAGTATCAAGTTACAGTGTATCACATCTTTTTTTATTCGGTATTTCCTGTACACTACACTGTATGGAAAAACCATATACATATATATGTATATATATATACTTATATAAATGTACATATATACATGTATATTTATATATATGTACATAAATATTTTCAAGACATTTAGATCCTGGATTATGCCCTGTCTTTTTATCTTTTCTTCCAAGCTAGGTATTTCTCATTAGTTTTGAATAAGCTCAATTTTTTCTGTCTTAGAAAATAAACAACTCCCCATGGCAAAATAAAAAATAACTTGCTTCATTTTATTTTCCCTTCTCTGTTTATTTTCCCACAAAGGTAAATTTTGTTTATTTTAAACACATATTAATACTTCTTTTCTACAAGAAAAAAATATATATATAAACACCATAGTGCCAACATGATGATAAATGGCAGATGACATTCAGCTTTGGTATGGGGTATAATAGAGCATGGTGGTGAGTGTGGCAAATGGTGGAATATAAACTCTGCCCATCTGAATGAGTTGCTAATTATGCTAGCTATTTTCTGTCTGGCTCTCCAGATCCCCCTCTCAAACCTGCTCCATCCCTTTCTCCATCCTGCTCTGTACCCCTGCAGACTAATCTTGATGGACAGCTTCAAGCTCCCTTGATTTAGAGTTCCCACTTTGATTTGGCCAATGAGGAACACTAGCAGGCAATTAGAGGGATGAGAGAGTGAAGTTTGGATATTTACTTCTCCAGCTTCCTCCTTGAAGCATCATCATGGGCGCCTGTGCCCTTCACCCATGCTCACAGCTCGGTCAGACAGGCTTCTCCACGTTGTGCTGACTTTCTGAGTTCCTGGGCTTTTCCTTCTCCTTGTTCCTTCAAGACTGCAACTCTCCCTGAGGTTGCCAGGGACTTCTCTTTGTGGTTTCCCTACACACTGTTTACATATTTGTAAACAATCCTATTATTAAGCCTTCTTCAAATTTCCCAACTTTGTTTCCTGCTTGAGCCCTATTGATAATACAACTCAACTCTGATGGACTATGGGCCCAGTGTTGATAGATTCTCCAATTTCTCAAGAGAAGCTGCATATCCAGGTTTATATATATAACTCCTGCCTTTTTTTTTTTTTTTTACTGCTGATTGAAGTTTTCTTAAATGTAGTAGTCAGACCAAACAAATTATCCCCATAGGCCAGATTTGACCCATGTAGTCAGTCTGCAACATCAGCTATTTATGATGGGAAAATAAATCAGATGGAGCACAGGCCACTCTGTAGCTATCCAACTTGCCAATAATGGGAAGGCTTTTTATGTGGGTGAGTGATGGACAAAATTTACCTAGTGTCTAACAGCCAGATTCCACTTCTTTTAGTAGCACCAAATGACATTGAGGGGTTTAACGGGAATACAGTCATAAAAAACTAATGCTGCTGCATACAAATTCCTTAACATCTGATATATTGCCAATGCCCTAGCCTAGAATACTGAAGAGAAATCTAAAGCCAAATTGTGTTTTGGGACTCACCTAGCTAAGAATGATACTCAATAGCTAACATCGGCTGTTTGCAGCCAGGTTCTTATTAGGAAAGGAGAGCAAAGACATACCTTCTGTGACCACCATGTCAGCCCTCTCATCTCAGTTCTTGGAAGTAGATCTTTGAAATACTGTAATATTTTTCAAAAACTTTACTCAAGTTAATGAAGAGTTTTATTCAGGCATGTGAGCTCTCTCTTCCCTTTCAGATTCATGATCTAACACATGTCATTGGATACTGAATCTTAACTCTGCATCACATCTCTAGCAGCAGTAAGCCTTTTTCAAG